AAAATGTTTGGACTCAGGAAAAATGCGTTCGAGGCAGCTCACGAAATATACCAGAAAAAATACTGAAAAATACTGCTTTTTTTTTTTTTACTAGTAATGACATTTACATTTACTACTAAATTTATTTACTAGTAAATTTACTTTACTTGGCCTAGTAAAATGAGATTAGTAAATAGTAAATTTTAGAGTAAATCGCTGCCATACTAAATTTACTACTTTTGCAGACTTAGGGCAAGTCTCCTTCCACCGTCTCCCTTTCTTGAGATGTCAGGCCCGGAAGACCATATGGGTGCTGCTCACTCCTTACCTGCCTCGGTCCTGACACCGTCCGGCAAGGTGGCCCTTCAAACGCACTGACCACCTTTCCACTCTTCGCCAGAGAGAGCATGTACCCGTACACATTGTCATTGTGAAGATCTTGCGCCGGATCATTGACCTTGTCCACGCAGATCACAACTGTACCATCTTCTTCCAGATCCCGCCACTTCTTTCCATCACCCGAGAACAGGTGCACGTGGATCTTCCTTGCCCTTTCTATTGTTCTTCTCCTCCGGCGATTCCATGGAAGTCTCTCCGTGTCGAAGTCCTGCGACACCACCAGCTTTGCCAGGATGTGGTCTGGGACGTCCGCATAGAACTCCTTCAGCGCTCTCAACATCACTTCCTCATAGCTCGGCGTTGTCTTTGCGATGACCTTCAACAGCGACAACTTCCAGTTCAGCTGTTCCCGCTTCTGCTCCATCATCTCAATCATCTTCAGAGCTGTCGACTCCTCCACCATGGGACAACACCCACCATTGTGACCTCGATTGGTGGTTGCTGGTACGCCACTGAGCACTTGCCCTTGACCCAGTTCACCACATACCCGGATTCCGTCATGGCGCCCATTGGAACGATGATCTGAGTCCCCTTTTCTGCTAACAGCGTCAAGGTGCCCGGCTTGCTCCGCATCAAAGCGCCGCCAAGCAGACCTCTACCACCTCCGCCTGATTCCATTCTTCTGTTGTTTTCCACGGCCTCCACGCGCGCGCAGCTCCTCCATCCATCAAACCCATCATCACAATGACCGCATTCATGCTTGGGTGACGTAGAGATCGAAGAAGGCTTGCCGCTTCCGCCAGCAGCTCCCCCGTTCCTCCACTTGAGTTCACTCCTGCATTTCCAGCCCCACCTCCGGTAGTAGCCGACGCCGTCGATGAAGAATTTTCACCACCCGCTACCCCTCAAGCATCTTTCCACCTCCTCCCCCCGAGCCGACGCCCGGCTCGCAACTTGCCGCCTTCACGGCCGGCTTTGGTGTTGGCCTTGTCGCACCCTTCACCGGGCACTCGCTTCTTCGATGTCCTTTTCCACCGCAAATTCAGCACCGCTCCGCCTTGTCGGCCACACCGTCCCATTCATGCGGCCACTTGCAGTTCATCCATTCTCTGACATAAAGAACCTGCAATTCCTCTGACCACCATCCTTCTTTGCCGATGCTGGTCCCTCCTGCATTCCACCGGCAGCCGTGGCTCCACCGCCACTCATCGCTTTCACCTTTGCCTGCTGTGGCCCAGCATCACTTGCCATGAGCTTCGCCGTGTCCAGCTCCGCCAACAGCGGCTCCGAATATTGCCAAATGGCCATCGTGGTAATTGGGGCAATGTCGAGACCAAGCATCGATCTCGCCTGGGCCACCCGGAATGCCTGCGCACCCCCTTTGTTGATCATCTGCGCCACCCTCTCCACTGCCGCTGCCAGCAACGTAGGATCCGGCAAGGATGCCCCAATCTCCTGCGCCCGCTGATAGTACCTCCTCCATTCTCGCAAGGCCACGGCCGCTTCTGAGTCCGTGAGCTTCTTGAGGATTAGCGACCTCTCCCCCGGACCTCCAGCTGAAACGTGACCAACAGCCTATAAAGGACTCCCGTAGACGTCAGATCTCTAGACGAGATCAACTCTCTTCTGATCTCCTCCGAGAGCAGCGTCAGTCCTCTCTGCTCCGTCTAGGCGCCTTCAGCCGTTCCGGCACGTCGACCGTGATCTGAAGCCGTTTCAATGGGGTCGACCTCAGCCACCTCTCGTAGAGCTGCTTTGCCTGCTCCACAATCCCCAAGCGTCAACGGGGAATGATCATTGGCCAGCTCCGGCAACTCCATTTTTCCTCCAGCACCTCCAGATTCAACCTGCTCTGCCCACTTCTCTTCTCCCACGACTTCCAGCCATCCCAGTGGGTCCATTCCGCGTTGGGGTTCCATCTCTCATAGCCCCGCTGCTGCTTCGCTTTCCCACTGAGGCTCCCAACCTTGGTCTCCTTTTCCGACCACCTGCAACTCCAGCGAAGGTTCACCCTCCCGCAACCTGGTTCCCCCCACCGTCCTCAACTCCTCGTCGGCGACCTGGATCTTGTGCCTGGTCTCACCATCTCCAGGGATTCTGCTCGCCTCGGTGGTGGTGGCGGTGGTGGTGGTGGAGGCGTCGATGCACTTGGCGTTACAAAGATCTCATCCATGGGAGTTTGAAACCTCGGCTCCTCCTGCTCCCGATGTCTCTGTCGCCAACCCTCCGCCTCCTCTTGCCATTTCCTTACCTCCTGGCACAGTCCTTTGATGATCCCGAAGAGATAATCCCTCTGCTTCTCCATCCCCCGGATCTTTCGGCATGCCTTCATGAAGTTCTTCTCCATCTCTTGAGCAAGATCCATTTCTCCGATCAGCTCCTCGTCATCGGGTGGTTGAAGTCGTTCTGGGATCCAGACCTTGAACTCATCGTTCCAGAACCACTCCAGGTTCAACGGAGTGCTTCTCCTGCCTCTCGTTCCTCGTCCTTCCGAATCTCGTGAGGGCTCTTCTCCGGGAACCGCCCTTTCCGTTCTTCGGCACTCCTCTTCCCACAGTCTCTGATCCCTTAGCTCTGGATCCTCCTCTTCTCCTGGACGTTGAACTTCTCGCTCTTGCCGTTGAACTCTACCCTCACCTGGTTGTAGAGCTCGACCCCGAGGTCCACCGCCTTCTTCCCCTTCTTTGCCGTTGAGGAACTCCCCCATCAGCTCGTAGAGCTCCGTGATCATGTTGAAGAGCTCGGCCATCATCTCGCCGTGCTGCTCCCCGACCATGTCCTCCAGCTCCTTGTTCCTTAGGATGTGGAAAGCCAGGTTCAGGCCCAGACGCCGCCTCCGGGTGGCTCGCCGCCTCCGGGTGCCCACCAATCTCCCGACCATGCCCAGGAAGATCTCCCGCAAGAGGGCCCCCTTCTCCATTGTTCTCATGCTTCGCGATCTCGACCATCTTCGAGTTCTCGGATCCAGGGATCTTGGGCAGGTCTTCCGGCCTCATAGCCTGCAGATATGCTTCAATCCACAGCCCGTTGGCTCCAGAAAGGATTTACATCCACCCGCCGTTCCCCGGCTTCTCCTTGCCTTCCCCGAGCGTCTCGCCCTTCACAAGGTCCTCCGGCTCCAGGATCCTCCTCCAGGTTCCCCTCGATCTGGCCCTCCAGCTCGGCGACCATGATGCCTGGGTCCGCATACCTCGTTCTCCGCATCAGCACCGGGTTGGGCTCATAACCCTTGCTATGCGCAGACCGCGCTTTTCCTCTGTTCCTTGATTCAAAGGGGCTTCGGTAACCCCATGTTCACAACCTACCTCAACGGGACGGGAAACTAAAAGGACCATAGTTTTTGGGGTCCCTTAAATCTCATTGGCCCAAGTTGACTGCTCAAACATCTTCCGTGGACCGCATTTGCACTGGCTCGGAATTTGCCTTCCGTCATTGCCCCCTACCCACTTGCACTCATGCACTAATGACTTCTTGGCCTTCTTCTTGCTGTGCAGCTGTTTTCCCTGTCAGACCGGAGTTGCTTCCGTCGGACCTCCTCTGAGCCTGGCACGTCAACCTGTGGTTCCGGTAGGGCACATGCTTCGCATTTTTGGTCAAGGCCTGCAGGCGCGCGGCCAAAAAAACAAAAAAGGATATCGCCACAGCTCACAGTAGGACTGGCCACGCAAACCGTGAAATGAACAGCTTGAGGATCTCTTTGGACTGGGCAACTTGAGCTCCATCAGATGAGCTTGGCGCTTCCGGTTTGATTTCTTTTCGTGGGCACGCGCTCATTCCAGCGCCTCGATTACGTCGCCGAGAGCTGTGAGCGACTTGTTGATGGACTGCGCCTACCCAAGGCGTGCCAACAGTCTGGTGGAACGTGACGAGGCACCTCGTTGTGGCAACCAACAAACATGGTGGATTCTTCTTAAAGTGGCGGGATCATGGGATCAGCGTAATGATCAAGGCCTCTTTGAACGCGTTTGCCTGCCCATACCCTTCTGTGTCGCGCTCTTACAATGCAATGCTGGCTCGGACGTACATAGAGAAAACGACTAGGCGTTGCTGAACCCTGAAGCGACCATACGCGCGCTCCACAAAGATGTCAGCTCTTATCTTCATGGAAGATCCTTCAGAAAGCTTTCCTTCTGAAAAAAAAAAACATGTGCCCCTTTTTGCAGGCGGTTTCCGTGCTTCGCAACATCCAACGGGCCTCTTTCATCTGCTCTCCGGTGACCTCACTCTTCTTGAGCCTCTCTGAGCCTTGCGGGCGTGGGCATCTGTGAGTTTTTTTTGTGGAATGACCAGTTGAATGTGTGTCCTGCTTTTTTAGGGGACCCCCGACAAAATGGTGGTTTACCTTGGGTTTTTCGTGGAAACCACCCAACAAGGGGTACCCTGAATCCGATTTATCAGTGTCATAAACCATATGATCTTTTCAGGCATAAGCACCGCTGCGACGTGGCACATTATTTATTTTAAGCATCACAGATGCCATGACAAGTAAGAATGCGCAGAATGCAAGCGCTTGTTTTATTCAAGGACTGGCCACTTGAAGCTAGTCCTCATGTGAGCGAATGCTGTACAGCCAGATGGAGCATCCAAAGATGTATGCAACTGGCAAAGTTTAAGTTGGCCTTGAGCTAGTGCCCGGCATTCGCCTGGATACCGCTCAAGGGATTCAGCGCTCGGGTCCCAAGCTAGGCCCAATATGTCTGCACACCCCTTCTTGCTCCCTCTCTCTCCAGCGTGCCCAGAACTTCCTCCTGCTCGCTGCAATTCAGAGAGCTCTCCTGCTCAGGGGGTTCCGCACATTTGAGTCACAATCAAAACCCGGTAACAAAATGGTCTACCCAGAACATTGTAAAGAATTAAGAAGGCGGATATCCGCAACTATTTCTGGCTGGGACTGCCCCTTACTAACCTTCATTTACCCGGGTTTTGAGCACGTGGCTCATTTCGGGTTTGACGAAGGGAGTTCTCGAAGCGATCGGCTGCCCCCTGACAAAAAATCCGCGTGCGTACAGCCCGCAACCACCCAATGCACCGAGTAAAACGCGCTCCAATTCGGCAAAGCAAAAAGTCATGCCACGCCAAACAAATAATCAACTACTCTCGCAGGTGCTCCAGTAGAGAGGCTAGAATAAGGGTACCCCTTTGTTCTGTAGTCTATTTTAGTAGGGGAACGGGAGCCCTCCCTCAAAAAAGGGTAAACGGGCACTACTGGGAGACCTAGTCGTACCGTTCTGGGCGAAGGCTCACATTTGCATTTCCGTTCCTTGTGTTCCCAAGCTGCTGCGAGTTGCATCATGTGGCAGGCCACCGTCAGCGTGAAGACCGTGCCCACGTCCACATTCACCACCACGCTGAAGCCGGCAGAGGACGCTGCCCAGTAGCCCGAGGAGGAGGCGAAGCCGTAGGTGATGCCGCCTTCCCAAAAAACGTTGGACCTTCCCAAAAAACGTTGGACATACAATTCGGGCATACAAGTAGTAAAAAATGGAGATGCCACCTTCCCAACAGCTTGAAATGGGATGAACATGGAGAAGGGTACACATTGTAAAAGGTTGGCCCTTGCCAACATGCCATGCAATCAAGGTTTTCTTTTCATGCAAGTCTGGCCTGGCCAGTGAGTGAGAGGTTGCGATTCCTCCCCAAAAAGTGACACTAACCCAAAAAGTCTGGCCAAATGGTCAAGGTCCAAACCCAAAAAGTGACACTAAAGTCAACATGCAACTCAGGAAGTGGGAGAGAGACACGAAGTCTCTTCGTCCGAGGCGCCGTGACCAAAGAAGAAGCTTTTGGGATCAGGAGACGCCGGGCTAACGGTGTTCAGCATCACCCCTGCGCCATATGGCCTCACTTGCCCCGGGACATACGACAAATCTATGAGCTTCACCTTTTGGAGCCTTGACGAAAAATAGCAAACCTGGAAAGCGGAAACTTGGTTGCTTGGCTTCTTGTGGCTTTTGTGGAACACCCAACATGTTGTTTTTCCCAAAAAAAATAAAGTCTAAAGATCCGTCCCAATAGCGGTCCAGAAACAACATGCCCAACAACTCTGGGTGATGTCCTACGCATAGCCCGCCGAAAAAAAAGAGAAAGAAAGACGGCAGGGCCAAGAAAAGGCAACAGGTCCACCTTTTGGAGCCTCGACGAAAACGATTCCAATGGCAAGCCACAAGGTCGGATCAAAAAGGTTCAAATGGCCAGGGCTTTTCAAACTCCAAATCGTACCCCCCAGTGAACATCCGATTCAATCCAACCACTAAAATAGGTACTCAACTGGGTGAATTCACCTATAAATGGGATCGCAAAACGGTTTTGACCACCACAGCCAGATCAAAACATCGATTTGCTGGCCAAGTTGCGCCCCCTTGGCCCAGCCCTGGGTCAGTGGCTGCATCCGCAGCATCTCCCCGCGCATGGCAGGGCCCAGCACGGGGGAGGGGGAATTCTGGTCCATCAGATCGTACCAGAACCTCGCCAAATCCCCGGCCTTCGCGCCAAATGCAGAGATTGAACTGGGCGAAATCGGAGAACATATGTTTGGAACCAAAGCCAGATGCCAAAAAGCGGCAATCGACATACTGTGCACGAACTCCACCACTGTCATGCTATGGGAAACCATTGAAATCGGATTTGACTTGTGAAACAAAGGCCAAAAAGGAGCAGCTCAATAGTTGGGATGGAGGAACTCCACCGCAAACCTTGGTCTGCTGGTATTTGTTGTTGGTATTTCTAGGGGAATCGTCATTCCCAGGTTTCTGAACGGTGCGGCGCAAAACATCGGCTTTGGCTTAAGCGAGCGGCAGATGCTACGAGGTTCCCGCAGGTCCAGCCCAGAATGGAGGGGTTTTGCTGGAAGATCTCTTTGGGTGCGCCATACCTGAGCGGGCCGTTTTCAGATCCCCCGCTAAAAGTGACTAACTCTTGGTGGGCTAAATGGAAAATTCCGCTGAACACTCAAAGGCGAAAAAGCTAAGGGGATGAACATTTTGGCTTTTAGTGGGCTAAATGGAACACCCCACTGAACACTCAAAGGCGAAAAGCTGAGGAACCGGATGGCTGGGCTCGCCAAGATACATGGCGGCATAGCCCGGCAAGCTCAGATTCTGGAAGAGCCTTAGGGACTCCACCTCTACGGTTGGGGAGGTCACTGGAGGGAAGGCAAATGAGCTGTAGCGAGAGCGGTTCGGCAACACCTGGCGCGGGAGTTGCAATCAGACCCAAAGATCCACAAAATGATTGAAGAGGGTGGAAAGGTTTTGCTGCCATGGCTTTTGTCTGCTTGACCCAGCAGTCTTACATCATCCGAAATTGGCGTGCTTCTTGTTCAAGAGCGGGGAAGCCTGACTGGATTTCAACAGATATTGACATGGACATGCCAATCTTTGTGAGACACGTTTGGTCAGATAAAACATCGGACACCATTTCCTCTTGACTCACTTTCAACTCTTCTCCGAACACATCAATCGCTAAAAACCAGACCCAGCGGCATACCATCCGCTCTAAAAGCCAAACAAGGCAAATGGGTATGGGTCAAATTAAACCACCAGGGGACCGCAGGTTTTGGTCCATGTTTCCATTTATCAGGATGCCATTTTGGGTACATATTTTTGACCCACAGCCAAATGTGTGTGCGTGTACGCTCAATGCCCTTGAAATCACAAAAGATTCACACTCCGCATGTGCGAGGCAAAAGCTCATCACCAACCCCAGGTGTCCTTTTGGCAAAATAGACGGCCCCGGCAAATGGGCCAGCTGGTAACCTAGGTTCTACCCAAAGTGGCTTCCTAGCTTGGCAACAGACATCCAAGTAGAGCACGGCGCGATGTGCTTTGGTTTCACCGTTGCGACGTGGCTGGAGCAACTCGGAGATGCAAGGACACCTATGCCATTGGTAAACCATGCAAGAGCCCAAATAAACAAAACGATCAGAAGTCCATTTGATTAAGCCCCCTGGCAAAAACAACAAGACTTCCAGCAGTGGTGTCGATTCCCTTCAAAACCAGGGAAACATAAACCATCTTCTCAAGCAAATGGAAGCTATAGACCCTTTCGGCCAACATCCTGCACCAACTAGAAACCATGGTTCATAGGGTTTCTGAACGGTGTGAAACCATCCCAAAAGGGCTACCAACTGCAAAAGAAGAAACACTGGTTAGAATAAGGCTACCTTTTTTGTGCAGTCGATTTTCGTCGGGTCCCGAACCCTCCCATCCAAAAAAAGAATCCGTCAAAGAAGGGCCAATCGCTGGGGGGCCAGAAATGGACTTCGGCCAATCCGCCTCCCCCAGGTCCATGTCGCTATAGGAGCCCTGCGGCTCCAACACCGCCGCCAGAATCAGCCCCGCCACCTCGAAGCCCGCGCTGCTGTAGGCGGAGCAGCTCTTCGGCGCGCAGAGCAGCGCCTGGGATCTGCTGTCGCCGACGGATGTTTTGAGCGGTTTCAAGCAAAAATTCGTGGGACTCGGCGGTTTCAACGACTTGTTGGGCGGTTTCGAGCGAAAAATTGTGGGACTCGGCGGTTTCAAGGCGTTTTGGGCGATTTCAAGCGAAAATTTGTGGAAGGGCCGTTTCAAGGTGTGTTGTCCCCCTTTTTGGGCGGTTTCAAGCAAAAGGAACCCGTTTTGAGGTGGTTTCAAAGGGAAACTCAGAGACAATTTCAGGGTCCCGGAATTGATATACACACACACACACAAACGCAACCACAAACACACTTATCTCGAGTGGCTTCACTCGCAGACAAGACAGCAAGAAACCCTTGGCTTCCCTTGGCATCAACAACAAAGGAAGCAGACAGCGACTTTTGGGGACCCAACATCACAAAAACAAAGGGACCAACAGCGGGTACGTTTTCACGGGACCAGAGGGGGGTCTTCGTTGGCCACCGCCCCCCCTGGTCCCCGGTGGCCCCCCGCCGGGTTTTTATCGTCCGTGATCCAGGACGGCGCACACACACAAAGCCCCGGTGGGGCGGACACGAACCACACAGAGGGAATTCCACCAGGGGACCGCCAAAAACCCCGCGGCAACAGCAAAAGATTTTCAAAGACGAAAAACCGGGCGCACAAAACCAAGCAGAGGGAATTCCACCAGGGGACCTCCAAAAACCCGCAGCAACAGCAAAAGGTTTTCAAGGACGAAAAACCCGAGCACACAAAAAGCCACACAGAGGGAATTCCACCAGGGGACCGCCAAAAACCCCGCGGCAACAGCAAAAGATTTTCAAAGACGAAAAAACCCAAGCACACATCAAGGCATCGCATGAACGTGAAAGTGAATTGAACTGATCTGAGTCAGCGCAGAGCGTGAATCAATGAACTGCAAAGTCGGTGTCTGACCGGCTTGTCACTCGCGCATGAAGCTGCCGGAGCCTGATATCTCATGAGAGCTGCCTTGTTCAAGATGCAGGCAGTGCAATGCGAATGAAGCTGCCGGAGCCTGATACCTCATGAGAGCTGCCTTGTTCAAAATGCAGGCAGTGCAATGCGAATGCGAACTGAACTTGAACTTTTGAACGTCATCCCCTCGCAGGGGGCTCCCGCATATGGCGAGTCCAGCCCACGGCGCCATGTCGGACAGGCCGTGGGTATACACACTTATCTCGAGTGGCTTCACTCGCAGACAAGACAGCAAGAAACCCTTGGCTTCCCTTGGCATCAACAACAAAGGAAGCAGACAGCGACTTTTGGGGACCCAACATCACAAAAACAAAGGGACCAACAGCGGGTACGTTTTCACGGGACCAGAGGGGGGTCTTCGTTGGCCACCGCCCCCCCTGGTCCCCGGTGGCCCCCCGCCGGGTTTTTATCGTCCGTGATCCAGGACGGCACACACACACACACAGCCTTGTGTCAGTCTAAAACCGCTACGAAGAGGGGCGTGTGTTAAAACCATGGTTTCAAATACTAGTGTTGAACCGTTCTTTCCCGAAAAGGGGGACCGAAAGCTGGTTGCTTAAACAAAGACATGCAACCAACCCACGCCTTGCCCGTGGCGTTCTTTTGGAAGGCCGCGGCGTACCGGAGATTAGCATACCTGACACTGGATTTCGGTCACGTCCGTCATCACAGCGGGTGGCTGAAAGGCAGCGATTTGAGGAGAACTGAATGGGTCGGTCATTTTTTTGGGGGTACCATTCTCTTTTTGACGGGTTGGTTTAAAGGGAAGCCAAAAGCAACATCTGGCCATGATGGGGTAGCCCTATTTTGAGACACACCCAATGGACCCAGCGACAATCCAAATGGGTGAAACCCAAATGGGAACTGGACTCAACATGGCAAGCCGTTGCCTTTTTAACTTTCCTTCAACTACCTGAGTCATGATCAAAATATGGTACAAACATGGTGAACCCAAAACCAAGTAAAGAGTTACAAAAGCGCCCGCACCTATTTATGGCCGGGTCCCCCTACTAACCTTCACTTACCCGGGCTTTGAGCAAGTGGCTCACCTGCTGTGTTTGGCTTCCATTTTTTGGAACACCGAACACCCTGCGGAACCGAAGATGCGTCTGTGATATCCGCTCTTCCCAACGGCCCAATTTCCTGCGACTCTTGGATTGATTCCATTTTGGTGTTCCTTGCAAACCAAAGAGGGACCGCCTCAGGAAACATCGGCCCTTGCGGTCCCGGAGGCCTCAACCACTCCTCTTTTTGGGCTTTCAAAAGAGAAGATCTCCTTTTGGGGTCCATGCCTTTTGGAGAAGTAAATGGCCCTGGTACATGGACTAAACCCCATCTAAACCAGCCACAAAGGACACCTGTGGATGGACGAAATGCTGCACCACCCAAGAAAGCCTGGAATCATGATTTTCCTGTAAATTTCCCCGCAAATAATGGTTTCAACCATGGTTTCTTAGGTGGTGCGAAATGGAATCCGTCCAGCCACAGTATGTCCATCATTTTGAGAAGCACCCATTGGTCAAAAGCTCGCCCTTCGGCAAGCTGCACGGGCTGGAAGCCGCCTGCATTCAGCATCCGATCGTCGAAATCCCCCACCTGTGCCAAGGCATGTTATCAATTTGGCCAAGACGCGGTTTTCGAGCAGTATTTTCCGATTCTTTCCAGGCATCCTTTCTTTCAGAAAATGCCCGGACAACCAGGGAATTCTGGCAGACAAACGGCTAAAAGAAGCCCAGAATTAACCTGTAGATGGTTGGGTAGTTTTCGAAGAAAGGAACCATGACTCCAGCCCAGAGGGAGGGGCCAAACTGAGTCACAGTCAACACTTTGTCTACCCAAATCATGTAACTTGTGAAAGGGGCAACCACACCTAGTCCCGACTCGGGACTACTCCTTACCCGGGTGTTCAATAGAGGGGCTGGAAAAATGACGGAATGATTCATCCCTCTTGGATTTCTTGGTGGGGGCCAACTATGGGCGTCTTTGTTGAGGCCCCCCCCAAAAAAAATGCTGGAATTCCCCTTGGTGTCCTCTTGGTTTCCCAGTAACACCACCAAACAACAGGCCCCTAAAAAAGACACCACGCATATTTGGGCCATTTCGCACCCAGCGGCGATGGCTTAAATGCTGTTGACTCTCCCCACCTCAAAATCTGGAAAGCCCGCGGTCATGCGGATCACGTCCAGCACGCTGGCAGCTTCCACACCGGCTCCGAAGAGCTCTGCCAGGGTCTTCTCCTCTGCAGAAACAAGCGGTTTGACAGAATCAGATGAGTTCTTCCTACACCGTGGAACGAAAACATCCCCGCAAAGATTGGGGAAGTTATCCCTAGTGGTGTTGGTGCGGTCTTGGTCACACTTCCAGTGCTGCGTGCCCAAATCCATGTGCAACGAAACACGTTGATGGCATCCATTAGCTTCAGCCCTGCAGAAAACATATTCCCAGCGATAAATTCTGTTTAAAATCAAGAGGGAGAAAACATATTCACTTCAGCAAATGGAAGCAAGCCTGGTGAAACCATCCCGGCTTCCGTCTGGGAAGGAGCCGGTTTGTGTTTTCTGTTTCTTGTGGTGGGGCTGGTGACATCAGAATCTGACACTTGAAGATCCTTTTTTCGTCAAAACCAAAACAGATCGGTAGCAACGAAGCACGCCTTGCCCTTTCGGGGAACGCGCCACTCCGCTCGGCCGCCGTTTCCTCCCAAACGGCTCGCGCGACACGCCTGGTGTCGCCTGAGGTAGGGATCCACGATGGCCGCCACCGAGTCCGTGGCCTGGATGCGGCCTTCCAAAGACGGGCGCGGCGGAAAGCAGAAATATCTACATTCAGAATACACAATTAACCATATAACACTATATACACATATATACGCATAGTATCTATATATACATATGTATATATATATATATATATACACACACACACTTGTTGACATATACATATATACGCATACTATCGATATATATATATATATGTATATATATATGTATGAATCAATACATACATGTATACATGTTGACATATATATATATATATATATGTGCATACTATATATATATATATATATGAATGAATGTGAGGTCTGTTCAAGAAATCCTTGTGGAAAATACTCCAACAATACTAGGGAGACAGGCTGCCGTGCATTTCTTCGGATTTAGGTTGAGTTCCCAGCCCAAATTGGAGACCTCTTTGGAGCTTCTCGACCTCACGGGTCGGAGGCTCCTATTGGATCTGCCTTGCCCGAAATGGCTTGCCCTGGCAAGTGGGAAAAGGGCAAAAGTTTCATTTGCTGTCCCCCGGCTCTTACATTTCGAGCCACGCCCCATTCACCAACCTGAACGGAATGTTTATTCGAACAGAACTTCATGAGCGAGGAGTTCTGTTTTACAAGTACACAAACATAATTTGTACACGCTCACACACCTACACACCTACACACCTACACACCTACTCACCTACTCACTCACTCACATTCACATTCACATTCACACATTCACACATGCACACATTCACACATTCGCACATTCACACATTCACATTCACACATTCACACATTCACACATTCACACACACTCACTCAGTCATACCGACTCTGAGACTCATGACTCTTTTTTGACAGGATGCTCCAATGTCTTCGCTCAGCAGGGGACTTGGAATCCTCGCCTTGCTCCACCAGGCGAAGCACCGCCGCCGCGGTCAGCGGCTTGGTGCCCGAGCCGAAGAGGAAGGTGTCCTAGGGAACCCCTGACTACGAACATGGCGACTGACAGGGAGTCGCGGGAGTCCCTACAAGAGGAATACGCTTTTCCAGGCACCGTTCCCACAGCTGCTATGTTGGTGGAAGGAAGGGTACCCTGTGGATGGACAACAATTCTGCACCACGAAAGGAATCTATGGCTGAAACCATAACGTTTGTTGGTTCTTACAGGGGAATTGAATCATTCCAGGGTTTGTTCGGTGGTCCTCCAACTAACATGGCACAATGTCCGTAAGATGTTCCTTTCCTTTTGAAGGGATTATTTCCCTGTCAGTTGCCATGTTAGTGGGAGGGAGGGCAACCCGCCAAAAAAAACGAGTCTTTCTATAGCTGCCTTTGGGAAGGAATAGTATGAAAGTAGAATGAAGTTGCCATCTGCTCTTCGTCTTCATTGGCAAAAGGGTCGTTGGAGCCATGACAGTCCTTTTGCTCAAGCCCAAGAGGGGCAACACAACATAGGGCTCCACTTTTCGACAACCCCAAGATAGACTTAACCCCCGGGGGTTCCCTTTGCGGGACATCAACCACTGGGTTTAAGGCTATCGTAGTGCAAAAGTGGAGCCCTGCTCAACCCCAAGGACCTCCAAACCGTCCTTCGACGTGGCCGGGCGCCCGCCAACACCGGCGGGCCCCGCTGCTACGGTGAAGTGCTCAGAGGCGCTGGACCTTAGTTGCTTGCAAACGACCCCGCTGCAAAAAGTTCTTCACCTTTTGAGGGCTTTAGTGGGACACCCAACTTGATTTCAACCAACAAATTTAACTTTGGGGGTTTAGTGGGTTTCACTTTTTTGCTTTTTTGGGGGGAAAATCCAGCGTGATCTCAACCAAAAACTTCACTTTGGGGGTTTAGTGGGTTTCACTGTTGTTGTTTGAGGAAAACCCAGCTTGATCTCAACCAACAAGTGTTCCCATCAAGTTTTGCACTACACCCAAAATTAATTTATTGGGTTGGATCTTTAGACTTAAGCTTGATTTCCACCAAAAAGTTAAAAAGTCTAAAGACCCGTTGCCCAATCGCAGCTCAAGGCACCAGCCAATCTGTGCTGCCACCGCATAGCCCTTGCCTGCGGCGGCCTAACGATCTCCGTCGGAAACCGTCGCTGAAATGTCGTGTTCTATATATGTATACATACATATAATATTCTTTAAACAAAAAAAATGGCTGGGGGAGGGAGGGGGGGGGAGGGAGCCCCAATAACAGACAAAAAGCCCCAAATAAGGCCTCAGGCTTAAGGGCTCCCTCTCCCTCCCCTCCCGCCCCCGCAGCCCCCATGATATTGGCTTTTGCTGGGGGGTTTCGAAGGGAAACCGAGAGGAGGACCACCGAAGTCATTTTGGGGGTTCCCTGAAAAAAGGGAACAGTCATGGGCAGGCTTCAGACTCCAAAAAACACATCCTCCTTTCGGCTTCCCTTGAACTCAAAAAATGGGCTAGGCCCTGGTTGCGAACTTTTTCCGGCAAACACCATTTTTGTTTCTTGGGGTGGGGCTGATGACATCTGACAACTTGAAGGTCCTTCGAGTCAAAGTCAAAACCGATCGGTAGTAAAATGGTCTACCCAATGAATGTAAGGAACTACAAAGGCAACCGACACCGAATTCTGGTTGGGACTGTCCCTTGCCGACCTTCCTGCACCTTCCATTGTTACATAAATTTGTGTCACGAAAGAAAAATGCTCGGGGCAACTATTTTTGCCCAATGATCCAAAAAGTGCTCGTTCCCCAAAAAACGCTCGTTTCATAAACACGGGTTTTTGCAAAATACTAATTGTTACATATTTTGGATTTGCGCGCGTTTTGCGGGTATTTGCGCTCGTTTTGCGGGTATTTGCGCCCGTTTTGCGGGTATGTTTCCACATGTGTCCACGCAACAGACTACATGAGAAGAGAGAAGCCGCCGCAATAGCCAAAAATGCTCGAATCCAAATTTGTGCCCGTTCCCCCGAAAAACGCCCGACTAGCAAATTTCTGCTACGAAACACCCAAGGGGCACAAATTTATGTAACGAATGAAGGTCCAGGTTCACCTACCCGGGTCTTGATTCTGTCTCATTTCTTGGGGAAGCTGTAAGATCCCAGTTGAACCAACCTCGACTCGTGGACCCGCCTGTGTCCAATTTCGGAGCAACTCCTCGAACTGGTCACGGAGGTCAGCAGAGGCGAGCACGAAGCAAAGCGCCAGGACGCACTTCATGGCGCTTATCACTCCCCCCCCCCGCCGAGTCTGATATTCAAAACCTCACTTCCTGTGTGGATGGGCCTGAAAAAGTCTAAACTTTTTGTATACCACTGAAATGGCTTTCAACTTACAGCCCATTGCGGTAGGCGAATGCCCCTTTCTTTTTGACGTTCGACGCTACAAGTCTAGCCCAGTAAGAAATAAAGATTTCTCTCAAGTTGTCGCGCATATCCAAAGGTGCGAAACATGATGGTTCAATAATTCATCTGCGCGGCAGGTTTCAGGCTTGAGCCTGATGCTGCCGAATCACCTTCCAGAGCCCTGCCTTGATCGGCCGGCTTAGTTTCGGATGCCTTTGATGGGGTCTGGCGTGCATCTGACATTGCTCCAACAAAAAATGCGATGACGCATTGCAACCACACACGCCAGTCATTGCAATGTACTGCAGCCAGACCCAACGCATTTCTGCACTCCAACCACTCAAGCCTCACACACGCGCAAACGCGAACGTGCACGCCCAAAGATGCCTGCCAGATCGCAGATGGTCAGCTTCCCTGAAGACACCTCGTCTTGAACTAGTGCTGTGCCAGTCACGCAAGGCAGCGGAAACTGCACATGACCTTCCACATAGCATCCGGATCACTTTTGTACAACTACTTGAACAAAAATAATGCCACGCCTGCATGCCGTGAACATACCACGATGGCCAGTGCCCAACAGAACGCATCGCTACAACGCAACATGCACTTCTCGCCTGCTTTGACTTCTTGTTGGTGCATTCGATGGTGACGATGAAGATCAGATGTGACCTCTGGACGGGTGCCGTGTTTGTGGGGAGGGCAAATTGCATTTGGCGAGGCCTCGAAGAATCTGCGTTCATCTTTGTCGCAGCCACCTGGGAAAGCTCGTGAAGCACGCCGCCGGCTCAGGATACGTCAACGGGTTCCGCAGCACAAAGGCAATGGGTACAAATAGTCAAGCGTCTGACTTCTGCAACATGAAGCAACCACCCACGACATCCGGAAACCATTGGAATTGGCACATGGGTGGCCTTGACTGAGGAACCACTTTGCTCGAGAAGACATCGAATCAACATGTCAGCATGGCAAAGTGGAGAACCAACAAAAGAACACGCAGACAAACACACACACACACAGACAAGCACACGCACACACAGACAGACAGACAGACAGACAGACAGACAGACAGACAGACAGACAGACAGACAGACAGACAGACAGGCAGGCAGGCAGGCAGGCAGGCAGGCAGGCAGGCAGGCAGGCAGGCAGGCAGGCAGGCAGGCAGGCAGGCAGGCAGGCAGGCAGGCAGCAGGCACGCAGGCACGCAGGCACGCAGGCAGGCAGGCACGCAGGCAGGCAGGCACGCAGGCACGCAGGCACGCAGGCACGCAGGCACGCAGGCACGCAGGCAGGCAGGCAGGCAGGCACGCAGGCACGCAGGCACGCAGGCGCGCAGGCACGCAGGCGCGCAGGCACGCAGGCACGCAGACACGCAGGCACGCCCGCCCGCACGCCCGCACGCCCACACGCCCGCCCGCCCGCACGCACCCACACGCACACACAACTCCCGACTAGAGGCTCGGAGCTCTGCGACCTAGCTACGACCTAGCTCCCCTCGCACCCTCCGCGCGATACCCTTACATCCCAATACGAGAGGAGCTACGAGGTTCAGGCGTGGCGTCTCTCCATCCCCGTCTGAATCGCTTTCTGCAGCTCCTCAGGGCTGGCCACCTGGTTTCGGGTTGCGCTTTCGCCCAGCGGAATCGCGCGGTGTGTCGGTTTCAAGGGGAACCCGCCAAAATCGCTTCAACAAAAATATCATCTTGGTTGTCCATTTACACCACCAAACAACAAACATCTCCTTAAGAATTTCACATATCTGAAAATATATTTACAACCTGAAATAAAAATTGGATGCCCAAGTCAAGGATCTTTAGCATGGTGAGCTCGTTTGTCCCCCGAATCAGTGAGCTCGCCACAAATTAAGCAGAATCATGTCCACGTACTGTAAGTCCGTGGCACACAAAGCCACGGCAGGGGAAACAGAATCTGCGTGCAGGATTAGAAGAATGCCATGACAAACACCATAAACGTGAGCCATGTGGCATGCCATGCGACATGGAATGCCTTCCGTCCGCCCCGATTCTGTGTGCATGCAGCTCACGTGCTTGCAGTCAGAAGTCCCCTTTGCGAGTTTGTCTCTTGAACTGTTGTGTAGCTGTGGCAGGGACTTCTTTTCCAGGGTCTTCGCTTTCCCGAGCTGAGGAGCGAGAAAAAGCCGGACATGGCAACTTGGCTGGAATTAGGACCCCAGCAACAAAAACTATATCTTTTGCCTGGTTAGTGGAAAACAAAAGGAGCCCCAAAAAAGCAAAAAAACAAAACGGGGAGCTAATTCTGGGGAAGGAAACCACGGGTGCCACTGAATGTTTTGGGTTGCAAGTTGAGCCCAGAGATGCCGCTCCACCCTTTAGACGTTGATAGCTCCAACTGCAGGGAACTCAACTGCCCATTTCGCCCCCACTCTAATTGGATGTGCCGTGTTTCACGGGACACCCGCACCCCCCCCTGCAAAAAAAGAAAAGAACAACAAGTGCGGTGTTCCTTTTGCTTCCCTTCAATTTCCTTCCCCCCCAAAAAAATGCAACAACATGTTTGTTCCTCTTCAGATCTAACCAAACGAGGGTTCCCCCCCCCCCGAAAGAAAAGTCACCGAGCCGCCTCAATCTCCACGGCATTCTCCACCTTCACCGTGCCCCTGATGTCCTTCTTCACGTCCAGCAGGGGCGGTGCCTTGCCCTATGGCACGCCGACCCAAAAAAAAACCGACGCGGAAATGGTTCATCCGTGGCTTCCATTTGGCTGTTCAAAAAATAGGGAAATCCCCAAAGTGGCTTGCCCGATCGGCAAATGAACACATGCACGAAAACCTGTTGCTTGAATTGGGTGCGGGTGAAAAACACGTAATTACTAATTACCCAAAATGGCTTGCCCTGGCAAATGGACACATGGACCAAAGCCTGTGGTCTGGTGGCTTACTTTTGACCCATACCAATTTTGAAACCAAATGGATCTAGATGCCCTCATAGCCAAAAAGCGCAAACGATGCATGCAAAGGGGGTTGTCGTTTCACTGGCCGGAGACTGCACGACCTTCCATGCATTGACTGCTTTCTGTCTGCTCCTGTCTGTCCGACAAACAACTCCCCAAAACCGCTACCGCAATCCACAGTTCACCTGCAAACCGAAAGCGGGCCACCCAAAACCAATACCCTTGTGATATTGCCAGTTGCTCATATTGTCAAATGCTTTGACCGCCGCAAACGGCTGGTTTCCTTTCCCCTTTAAATGCGCTACATGTCCCTGCACAGCGCGTGGTGTGGTAAACCAATGGATGGAAGTACCGCCTTTCGGCCAGAAACCCTCCGGTGTCCAAACAAAAAGGGAGCAAAGCCCTCAAAAAGCAACAACAATGCAAACCGGACTTGTGCGCATGAATATGCGGGTGTGTCTTTTTTGAGGGTGCCGTTTTGCTGGTGGTGTTAAAGGGAACCGAAAGGAACATCGAAATCCATGGAGGTCCCTTAAAAAGACAAACCCATGCGCCTTGACTTTAGTGTAGAGCAAGTCCACCAAGTCATCCCGATACAACCTGCCGAGCTTCTGAGCGCTCCAATCCTGGCGAGCCTCCGAGCTTCTGAGCGCTGCGCTCGAACATGGAGCACATGACTTTGGACTCGCACTCGTGGGCGTATCTTCCTCAGCCGTAGATTCATGTCGACAGGTTAATCAACCTGGTGCATAGAGAGATGAGAGCCCACCACAAAGTGAAGGATCCCTCTGGACTGGGTTCCTCCCTATGAATCAACCAGAGGGTTGATTCATGGGTTCCCTTTGCTCAGCAATGGGGCCCCGGCTAAGCACGCTAAACAGCTCCTGCCCAAGACAATTGCAGTTGTCCTTACTGTTTTGGCGGCAGCCAACTCACCTCAAGGACAGAATTCAAGAACGCGGGTCTGTCTTTTGCTCAGAAAAGAAACCCCCACCGGCGACCCCACAAAATCGTCCAGTTGCACTGGCTCAGTTGCTTCAGCTCCATGTGAGAAGTCCTCTGCAGCGCGAGGCACTAAACCTGGCATGGCCTCGGGACTTGGGTGGCCGTGTCCTTCTTTTGGGTACCCATTTTTGGTGGTTCTCAAGAAATACCACAAGGAAAACAGCAGACTTTCTTGTTTTTTTTTGCAGGGGGGGGAGTCCCCTAAAAAAGGAGAGAGAGGGAGAGAGAGAGACCCGATGAAATTGATTCGGGAGCACTTGAGAATGTGAACAGGTTGGCCACAAATGAGCTACAGCTCCGGAGCTGGTGGGTGCTTGCCGCGTTGGGACTGACTAACTTCGAAGGCTAAACAAGTCGTGGCACTGCAAGAACAAGTGAGATATGCTGAGGCTCGCGCATCGCTGCCATACCTCAGCTTGGCGGCTGAGGTTAGACCAAGTGGTGAGGGGTCACTGAACTTCCCCTTCAAAGTTGACATTTACTGGTGATTTCCATTGAAACTGCCACTTTTGGAGGTTCCAAAAAAAACAAGCGGAGGACACCTTCATAATCGCCCTGCAACTATTGCTTTTCGGTTCCAAAGTGTACCTCTGCCCCTGAGTCATAATCAAAACCCGGCACTAAAATCATCTACAAAGAATCATGTAAAGAATTGACAAGGCGGCCACACCCATTTGGCTATGGGCCAAAACCCCATACCCCCCGTGAACATCCCAATCCCCACTACAATAGGCTCTAAAATGGGTGGTGAATTCACCTACCAACCAAAATGGGATCCCAAAACGGTGTTGACAACCACGGCCATTTCTGGCTGGGATTGCCTTCAACAAACTACCCTCCAATTCCCCGGGTTTTGAGGCCGTGACTCCGTCCAAGCTCAGGCCAGAACATGGTGTGCGTCTTCCCAGCGCCGGTTTGCCCATAGGCGAACCTCGGGCAGCGGTCAGTTTCAGGTTGGGTGCGGTTTTTTGCTGGGCACCTCTGGCCAGTCTTTGTGTAAATAGGCCATGGCGAAACACATATATGGGAATTTGCCATTAAGCATAGGGGTTCTTTTGGGGATGAACAACCCCCTGGGTTTAAGTCTACCCTGGGGGGTCAACAAGCGGAACCCTGAGGCTTGTAGCGCAGGCTCAGTTGAATGCACCGCGTGACACGCCTTCGTTTTCGCCCGAATCGCTCGCATTCCGCGAGCCATGCCACACATCCGGGTCAACGAGGACGCCTGCCTGGGCGCATGCCATCGGAAGAAGTCTACGCTGCTTGGATGAACATGCAAAGCTCACTTGCCAGGACCTGCAAACACAGTCTAACCGTCTAACCTGTTGGGGCCGCAACTAAAAATCCGCCAGAAGAAAGGCACCAAAAGGTCCAAAGGTCGGATTTAGACGAGTAAGACAGAGGGCTGGAAGAAACCGCAGTTGGTTTGAGCTGTGGTGCGTTTTAATTCCGAAACCAAAAGGACATGTTTTTTTTTTGGGGGGGGGTTGTTCCCCCAAAAAAAGACACAGCAAGATGATTGAACACGTTCTAATTGGCCAGGATTCAACAGCTCCATCTGCTTCACTGCGTCCTGGGCACAAGCCCCGGAGGACTTGAGCGGATCTCATCGGTGGGCTGGGTCGATGGTCTGGAGCTTCTTGGAAAGACATGGTTGATGGTGGGTTGATGGTTGGGTTGATGGTTTGGAAAAACCCACGGGTTCCACAGCCATAGACAAGCAACCAGCCAACCTTCTACCAATGCGAGCATGAGGTGAAAGCAGGTGCGCCTTTTGGCATCGGACCCATTTTGTTGGAGTAGGGGGTGATTCTGTGAAACTTGAGGGGAGCGTCACGCAAGGTGCAGTATCTTAGCGTGTGTTGCCAATTAATTGTTTTTTGTTGACGACCGTATTGCCGATTGTGATAGCTAGTTGAGTTGTCTGAGTACTATGTCATATATCATAGATGGTCGAAGGACAATAATTTTAGATTCATGGTCGGGGACAAAATTCCGCGAAGACCCCGTGCGAGACCTATCATCTCGCAAGGACTTTCACTATGGGGCAGCTGCTAGACCATGCACAGTTCCTCATACTCCGACTGAGTGCCAACACGTCCAGTCCAGTTTTTGATGGCTCCCTCTGAAAGAAAGGGATGCCCACTCAAAAGGGGGGCCATCACCACAAGTGGGCTTTATATACTCAGATCCCCTGCTAAAAGTCGAAACATTTAGTGGCTCAGGTGCAAACTAGAAACATTTGAACAACCAAGGAACCGGCCGGCTGGGAACTGGCAAGATACGTGGGGCAGGCGATTTCTCAATCAGTCGACATGTCGCACTTGGGCTCGGGGCCAAAGGCTAAAAGCTTCCTTCCATTTGCTTAAGCCCACTGGAAAAATAAATATATACTTCCAGTAGTGATAGATTCCCATTAAAACCAACAAGGGGAAATAAATACATATTCATTTCAGCATGGGGAAGCTTCACCCTGAGGCCCTCACCAGCACAAGGCCGCTCACGATGCAGGACTCCACCCCTTCTGCGCGGCAAATCTCATTCGCCAGTCCTTCTTGGTCCATCCTGGGCGACGACAGTTCGTAACCATGCTTATCAGGGCTGTCCTCAGATCCCCTTCTAAAAGCTTAACTTTTATGACCTTTCATGGCAGAAAGAGTCCCCGAAGTAGGTTAGCAAGGCTACTAACCACGCACTAACCGAGGACGTTTGCAAAAAACCCAACTTATCCTGGCCAAAAGAGTCCCCTAAGCAGATTCTTCATCCTGCGCACTCGGGAGCCTTTGAATCCAGACATTCTTCCAGCATCAAGGCCCCCGCCCCCGAAATCCGCGCGAGAAAACAACGCGCGTAGCTGGTTTGGCCTCCCTTGAGTTTTGCCTGCGGATGGTTGCAACATCCTGGTGCGGTGATGGTGTTGGGTGGCTTGGGAGCGACTCCTGTTTGAAGTATTTCTGGAACTGAATGACAGGTGTATACAGGATGGCCAAAGCGGTGCTGTTTTTAAGACACATGATACATGCGCTTTCTGCAACGGAAGGTGGAGGAAGAGGCTCCTCACAAACAAGTATGGTTTCCGATCAAGCCTATTGACCTATTGACCGGCATGAGCACAAATACAATACTCACAACATTGTGTTGCGATGAGCGTTCAACGTCCATAATTTCTGCTATGGGTGCCGTCGCCCTGTCAAAAGGCATTTCCGGTATCCTCGCTACTTGATATGTAATTTAACAGCTGCAAGAGGAACTGCGTATCTCAGTCCTCATTATCAAGTAGTGCTGAGGACGTCCGAAGTGCCGCAAAACATACATGGCAAAACAGCTGACAAAACATGGAATTCAGGGAGACCAGGATTGATAAACTCTTGATTCATAATAGGGTCCGTGCATGTTTCTGTCTTTCGGAGGAAATCCCAAAAAACTGCCACACTCTAGGTGGATGGCTCGCGCCCCCCTCGGGGGAAGATTTGATGACCTTTGCGAACGAATAGCCAGCCAGCCAGCCAGCCAGACCAAAAGACCAACTAAGCATTCCAACATTCCAAGCATACCAACACAACCCACACCACCCAGCCACATCCAACCCAACCGCCCAAGCCAAGCCAACAAGCCACCTGGCTGGACACCGTTCACTGCCAACTCAGAGGACCTGCCCCGCAGATTTTCACCTGAAGCTCAGATCAACATGTGGGGGTTGATCAAAAGCTCCGATGAACATGGGGATGGCCATTGCTTGGAAAACCAGTAGCAAGATATGAACTTTCCCCACATGGGACAAGTGGGTCATTTCAAGGCCAGGAATATATTGATCAACCCTCATGTCGACGAAATGCCATGTGGCTCTTCCGCCCGAGAGTTGATTTTTTCTCACCCATACTCCCAAACAATATATAGGACTTGTGGCTTGGAAACTCGGTCACTGAGACGCACATGAAATAGCACCTCCAGGGAGTATATTGCACAAGTGACAAACCTATTGCAAAAGTGACCAAACCCTGACCAAAACCTCTCACAAAACCTCTGTCGGGACGCGCCCCGCTGTGGAAAAAACGAAACGGCTAGCATCGCGCATCGAGCGAAGCATTCGGGTCAGGTGGCCACTGGAGCAGCCTCAGCGCCCAGCGGCCCTGCCCGTGGCTTCGGCAGGCGGAGATGCTGCTGCCGAAGCTTTGCCTGGTCTTTCTGTCCATAAAGGAAATGAAGAACCAGAACGAAATGGTTGCCATTTCGTGACTTGCTTGTGACCCCCCTTTTTTTTGTGGGGCTTAGACAGCCTGGCAAAAAAAAAAACAGAAACCTCACAACTACCCACAACTGCCGCGTGAATGCTCGGCTTTCCTTCACTTCGGAGAGGTGAAAAAGATGGCAACTTAGCACCCAAAGCCTACGGCTTTGCTTTGTGAGTGCCCTATTGCTCAATGAAACCGACCACAAATTCCATGGTTGAGTTTGGCTTGTTGGGTTTCCAGCTACTTCCATATTGCAAGTAAACCAACCACACACCGTGGTTGATCAGGGATTGTAAATCTTACAGGGTTTCCAGCTTGTTCCCTACTTGCAAAAATTCCGCGCATCCACCGTCCCTTATGGAAAGCGGCTTTTTGCCCATAGTTAAACAGAAGTGACCGTTAGAAAATGGGCGACTTGATCTCTGGGTGCCGACTGCCGGCCCACAGCAAGCCACCGCAACAAAATATGGCCATGGCTTTCAACCACAGTGGACAAGTCAGTGGATCTGTTGAGAATGGAAACATGCATCTGCCAAGCTGCTCGTCCGGAAAATGCTTGTGGTCGCTCATGACAAAGAGTTGCTCCACTGCCAGGTGCCACTGATACCCACTTTGAAAGGCGCTGATTGCTGCGTTCAGACCTTGGCTCCGAGCATTGGCATTTTGTTTTGTTGGTGACTGCTCAGAGGCGCCATAAAGAAGCCGGCCAACCCAGCAGCCGTTGCATCCGAGCTGCAGATCTGATTGGGTGCTGCCCATAGATGGTCCATGCCATGCAGCAAGCGGAGCACTGACAGCCACTTGCCCTTCTGGTCACAAGCGCTGATTGCTGCTGTGTAGCTTATCTCATCCGGCTGCAGCGCCCAGCCTGCGGCAAGTCGGATCTCGAGCATCGCAGCATTGCTCCAAAGCCAGCAACGGTGCTCCCATAGCCCTGTTCGATCCTTGTGAGGGCTCCAAAGACAAGGGACTCTGTCACAAGTAGTAAGTAGCCATGAGAAAAAAGAGCAATGGCTCGTGCTTGTTTTGTCGCAGCAGAACTCTGTCGGTTGCGCCTGGAAGCGTGTCCAGCACGTCCAAGGAATACTCCCATCTTCCAGCCTGCAAGCGCTGATAAATAGAGCGCTGCTTGACGTTGCACTCATTTACAATTAAAATTCCACGTGATATTTTCAACCTGCTATGGAATACCCCTAGGCGCTGGACAAGTTGCTTGTGATTAGCTGAATGGATGGAGTGAGAAGCTTCAATCAGAAACACAATACATGCACAAACAAACGCCAGCACACGCTTCTGAGCCTTGGGTACGAGTACAGTGGCCTTGCTCAAAAATCACTGTTTCAGCTAGCTTCCCTCCTCTCTAGCCCAGCGTATGTGACTTCCAGCCTTAGTGCAAAACAATGGGTTCAGGAGTCGCTGCTTTGAAGCAGTGCCGCTCTCTTTGAACACATAAAGGCGTTCGCTTTCATGAATGAGCTGACATCGTGATTCACGATGCTACGCCTTCACACCCACACAGTCACACTTCAAAAAGCGCAGAAGTTGCATGCCGATTCGCTTGAAAACAACTGTGTAGCTCCTTCATTCATACTTGCCAGGCAGGTTCTTTGCCATACAAAAGAGCTGTTATGTGATCTCTTTGAACGTCACCCCACCCAAACAACATTCGCAACAAAGAAAGTTGTGCTTAAGCCACTAAACCGGGGAGATACAAGGTCGCCTCTTACAATCAGAACGGAACCAGTGTGCTTGAGTTTACCCACTCTCCCCCACCACCACCTGGCTATGGGTCAAAACCCAAATCGTAGCCCCAGTGAACATCCCAATCCAACCACTAAAATAGGTTCTAAACTGGGTGGTGAATTCACCTACCAACCAAAATGGGATCCCAAAACGGTGTTGACCCCCCGCACCACATTTCGAAGGCATCTCCTTGGCGCAGGCGCTGATGCCGGCATTGCAGCTGATCTCATCCGTCGACAGCCTGGCGGGGCTATGCATCGAACATGCCTGGCCTCCTGTGAAAAGGGCAAAAAACAGGGACCCCAAGTGCAAACAAAGGTCCAAAAGCTATAGGGATGCACTCTGCCAGTAATTACCCTCCGGCCTGCATATTGAATCGCTGTTGCCTCAAAGCCCGTACCCACTTGCGTTTCCGGGGGGATTTTTTCCCTGACCCTCCACTTCCCCGACTCCGTTGACTGCGGGCTCCGACTCAACAGGCCTCCAGCAGGGCATGGCCCGCAGCACCCGCAGAGCCCTCTGCCACTCGCCGCCCTTCTCACAGGCGCTGAGCCTTTGACGTTGGGTTTGGGGAGCAAAAATCCGAGAAAAAAAAACAAACATCAGCAGTTCAGTGGATTTGGATTTCCACCACTCAACCACAATAAGATCAAAAATGGGAAACATGTTTCCCAACGACAACCATGGAGCAGTGCGTTGCAGGTGACTTCCGTGGGCCGAAAGCTGAAGGAGGAGGCCAGCGACAGCTGCCATCGGCCTGGGCGCAGTTGTGGGGGGGTGGGGAGGCCTTGCGTAAAAGAAGACGCGGGGCACGCCTTGCGTATAAATGGTCGGTTTCCCCCAAAAAGCCATAAACACGGGTATCCAAAATTGACACAGCCACGTGGAAACCGGTTCCCGTCTCCCTAAAGGATCCCCAGGCTCACCGGCCTGCTCCGCCGCAGGCGCTAGTGGCGGCGTTGCAGGTGACCCGGTTGGGTGGCGTGTCCTGGGCGCGACGGTGTGGGTACGTGGGGTACGTGGGGCACGTGGGGTACGTGGGGTATGTGGGGTACGTGGGGTACGTGGGGTATGTGGGGTACGTGGGATGTATGTGGGGTACGTGGGGCATGATTCGAGTTAGGCCCGTTATAGAATGTAGATTTTATTGTTTGCTTCACATGGAGTAACTGGAAAAACGTAAAATGTATCCAAAGTTAACCCTGGGGGTATGTGGGGTGGGGTCGCTCATTTTGTGTACCCGAAGCTTGAACAACCTCAGCTTTGGCCCCAAGCCTGGTTGATTCTCCAAATGGGAACGGGTCAAAATAGGTACACAAAATGAAAACCCGGCAAATGGAAACAAGGACGAAAACCTGCGGTTGTCTGGTGGTTGAATTTTAAACCTGCCCAGAGATTCTCAAGCGGTGGCTTTTTTGGACTGCTTCTCTTATTTGGGATATTTTCTGTGATATCCCCACAGATCAGGTAACCCCTAGTTGGCATATTCGACTGTTGGTTTGGGCCAAGCCACCAAATCGCCGATCCAAACCTCCCAAGCGGAAGCTGAACTGGGCTGTCCGTTTTCAGCCCTGCCAAAAGCTTAACGCTCGTGGGTCAACTGGACACCCAACCACGAAAAACCATCTAAAAACCAACAGAACCAACTCAAACCAACCTTTACAAAAAGGAAAAACTGTTTTGTTTTAACAATTTTTAAACAAACACCTAAAAACCAGAAGAAAAGCAAAAACTCAAATTTCAAAAGTCCCTAAACACCAAAGTTGAACCGGAGGATTCGCGGCAGCATCAACGCGCCGGGCGTCTTTGGTGCCCATAGCCCCCAGCACCGCCATCCCCGCGACCCAGGCGTTGCGCCGCTCGCAGGCGCTCAGCAGCGCGCTGCCCACCTGCACGTCCGCAGGCGCTGACCTGGCGTCGTTGATTGAAATACGCCTTCGGTGCTTCAAATGTAAAGAGGGGTAGGGTCCTTTTTGGGAGTTGGTACCTTCTTGTTTTGCGGTGTTCAAAGGAAACTACAACTTTTTCTAAAGTTGGTACCTTCATTTTTGCGGTGTTCAAAGGAAACTACCACTTTTTTTTCTGGAGTTGGGGTTGCAAAAGCAACTTTTGTGAGGATGTGACTTTGATGGAGCCAGCCAAACATCAGGCCGAACATCGGCTTTAAAAGGAAACTCAGGGCCCCGAACACTCGCAAATGCTGTTTTGAGTTGCCGCCGCTAGGGAAGTCGTCTTCAAGTGGTATGCTGTAGCCAAATCTAGCCTTGCCTGGCAACAGTCAATTGACGCACGGTAGCAAGAAATCCAAGCTTAGGAGGGCTAACATGAGGGGGGGGGAGGCATTTGGAGGCCGACACATATGATCCATGGTCCAAACTTATTTTATTTGTCCAATGGTCCTTCTTTTTTTTCTTCTCTCAGGAATCAGTACAATGATATTTCGGATCCTCACTACCAGGTAGATGAAAATCCATCCCGTTCACCCCTTCAAGGGGTCTTTTGACCATTGCACATATGGTTGTGGCTCAAAAAACCGGTACCAAGAACAACCCTGATAAGTGGAAACATGGACAAAAACCTGTGGTTTGCCCCTCCCGTTTACTTCTGAGCCACCCATATTGACCCACCAACCCGTGCGGTGACTTCTGTGGTTGAAAGGCTATTTGCCACAACCACCATTTGGAGTGAATTCGGTCGCGTGAGGTCGTAATCCACCCACCTGGAGTCTCCATGACCCGAAATAAAAATGGGTTCATGGCCTATTTCATTATTTTGGGTCATGACCCATTTTCATTTCGGGTCAGAAGAAGACTCCACCCAGACCTGTTGACCCTCGCCCTTCGGATCGCCCTTCGCACCTGGCGAGTGACTCCACGAGATGGGCAGCCTGGCGCCAGACCTCCGATAAACTGCTGACGAGAGCCACGAAGCCGATGAGGTTGCAGCTCCTCGGCGGGGGGAAAAAAAAAAACAGACGGGGCTGCCTTGTTTTTTGAGGGTACCCTTTTTCGGGTTTCAAGCCATGTTTCTTGTTGTTTTGGTTTTGGGGGGCTCCCGTAAAAAAAAAAAAAAAAACGACACACCCATACTGTGGATGGGACCACACCGCCGAAATCAGAAGCCCGGGTTGCTGATATGATTCCCCCCGGTAAAATACCAATAAACCATGGTTTGCCCGTGCTTTCAACATGCTCCACAGTATCATCATGTGCTTGGACGTGTCATCCAAGAACAAGAGGGTGACAAGTACCTGATTTATTGAGGCGGCTGATAGAGGAATTAGTACTACCTGGACCCCCCAAACGACCTCAAATTTGTCAAACCCTTTTTCCGAGCTGTTTTTGCTCATACGAGTACTTTTTCGTATTCGAGCACTTTAAAAAAAAAAGCAATTAGAGCAGAAATCTACTTCCATAGGATTTGGATGCTTTGGAGTGTATGAGTTGTGCTGCCAGGGCCCACACTCTCCGTATAGCAGGGGGTGGGGCAGGAAATTGCTCGAGTGCGCAGTTCGGGCAACAAACGCGTGTTTCGTGGAAGCCTAGCAAGCCTGCACATGTTTGCCGCAGTTTTGCATTTTGGGGGCAGTTTGCAAGCTCCAACCTCGAGCGCAATTTCCCGCAACCGAGCGTAATTCTAAGGGTCCGTTGTCCCGCGCCCAAAAGCGCGCAAAAAGATATCCAGGTGCTCGAAAACGAAGATGCGCTGCCCACTGTGCACTGTGACATATTGAGGCACGCTTGATGGGTTTGTGTGAGGCTTGGCGCCTACATGCAATCATCCACAAGCACGGGGGCTCACTCGAGCACTTATTTGGCCTCGAGCGCATTTTGCCGAAACGAGCGCTTTTGGGAGAAACGGGGCCCTTCCTTCGAGCAGACGTGTGTGCTCGTTTGGGGTGGTCGTATGATAGCGGATGATAGCGGATCTACCTTAACGTGCCCTCCCAGGTGGCCATGCTGTACAACTTTCAGCAGCGGCGTTCCGCTCAAAAGTCCGCTCACCACAAAGTCGCAATGTCTTCGAAATTTGAGGAACACATCAGGCCGAAGGCGGGCCACAGCAAGCGTAAACATATTGTAAGTACTGGCGCAACGTATCGTTCACTGACCGGGCATCTGCGGATTTGCTTTCCAGCTCAATTTAGCACAACTCTGTGATTCAGGACCTTCATTCCGAGTGCGACAGATCCATCCTAGTTGTGGATTCAGTGGTCAGCTCTTCTATCACAATAAACCGCAACGGTGATCTCTTAGAGGCGATTTGCAGTGAGTGCACAACTTCTCAGTGTCACTCTTTGGGACTCTGACAAACCACCTAACTCTCCATTCCAAAGCCCTGTTGCCATTCAGCCAGCCAAACATGCCAAGTCCATGCTCCCAAAAGCTCTGCGGCTGAAGCACACGCCCGCGCGGAATCGGAGGTCGCAAAGCTCCAGGGACCTCTTCCAGTCGCCCGAAGGCGACAGGGTGTTGTAGCTGGGCAGATCCGCCTCTACCTGGACCTGCTGCATCTGCTGGAAAACGGCCTGGCGAGTTCGATTGATTTCGTGCCCTGGAACAAAAGAAGGACACGCTCCGACCAATTCTTTCAGAGTGATGCAAGCCTTTCTTCCCCCGGGTGACCACAAACGGGAGCCTTGGAATAGGGAGACCCCTTTCAAAGTGGTTTCCCAGCTCCCCGTCCTCCCCCAAAAAATTCTCTCCAAACCCCTCACGCCCACCGCCGCCGGTTTGTTTCGGATCTCTTTCCTCCGCGCCTGTGCTCGCTGCCACGCGGTGGCCTTGACCAAGGAGTTCATCACGGCATTGTGGTGGAAGCTGTTGCCTTCAAGCCGGCTGGCCTCGGGGAACGTCTGGGGGTCGGGAACCAGCCAACCACCACCACTTTCTTCTGCTTTTTCGAAGAGAAAAAAACAAAAACCGCCGGCGGCGGAGTCTGAGACAGAAATTTGGGTCTGGTTGTTTTTCAGGGGACCGACTAAAACGGTGGTTTTCCTTTTGGTGTTCATTCACATCCACCAAAAAAAAAGGAGTATACCAACTCCCAAAAAGATGAGCCATTTGGCCTAAGCCTGGCCTGCAGCACCTGGAAAAGCGCCAGCACCTCCGCATCTCTTGCCCTCTGCAGCTCCTTAAGCCCTTGCCTCGAATTCAAGGCCCTTGAGCTGTATCGCGCCTGCGCGAAACGAGACAAGCAAGATGAACACCCCAACCTCCGGTGGCCACCGGGGGGGGAATCAATCCTTGGCGGAACCTCTTTTTGGAAGCTGACTTCAAAGGGATGCGCTTCCCAACCAAAAAGGGAAGAAGGGCACCCCTGGAAGGGGCACAAGAACCTTGATGCGACGCACAGCTCTATGTAAATCCTGGAAGCATCTGGAAGCCCTCCATTTTGCCTAAGAGTCCTGGTAAAGATGAGATGACACCTCAACATGCCGGCGGTCTCTGGCGTTTTTGCCCTCGCCTCAAGCTTATTCCACGCGCGCTTGGAACTCGGCTTCCCCTCGACCCGGGTAAGCTTGCCAACCATAAGGCATAGCTCCCTGGCCGCGGATCATGTCTGCAAGGCGCTTCAACATGGCCACGGGTCAAAATCCCAATCGTACCCCCAGGGAACATCCCAATCCCCAATAAAATAGGTTCTAAACTGGGTGGTGCACCTACCCCAAAATGGCATCCATTGATTTTGACCCACAGCCACATAAGTTCTGTGCTGCGCCTAGCGCTTGAGCCCAGGGCTGCAAGGCGGCGCTTGAGATGCGGCTGGCAGTGAGGGTCTTCCCCATGGCTACAGCCAAGGCGGCGCTTCAGAATTCGGTGTGCCGAGAGAATGGACACACTCCACACAATGCTCTCGCCGAAGCAAGCCTTGAGTGCTCGACTTGTGCTTCATTTCCTTGTTCACCTTTTCCGATTTTGCTCTCCAGAATCCATTCCAGCAACTGCACTTGGTAGGCCGTCCCCAAGCAACCATTTCCCATATCCTCAACCAGGCAAACCAAGGTCTACCTACTTGTGAGCCCAAAGAAGCAATCACATTCAGTTCCGGGCGTCTGTCAACACCCAACGATTCTTGGATGGGGCATCATTTGAACCCAAAGGACCTCCCTAAAGTTGTACATTCATACAAAAGATTCGCGCATAGCACCCATCCATTCTGATACATTTCTCACCGCTTGAGGCCCGCACACTGTGACATTGAAGCCGTCCACGGCTGAGCCGATCAAGCCACGACAGTCTGCAAAGACGTCCTCCTGAGAGTTGTGCCTGGCAAATCCCATACAGTGCAAAGGCCCAAGCAACCTATTCATGGTTGGGCTCTAGCATGTCTACACACTTCTTGTAATCCATGTTTAGCAAGAGTAGAACCACCCATAAAATCCCCAATGCGGTTGTGGGCCTCTGTTGAAATCCATTGACTTCCTTTGTTGCTTTCCGCATGTTGGTTGAATCCTCGGATAGGTTGGTTCCGCCTGAATTTCGCAGAGGTTCATTTACCTTTTGGAATAAGGACCTCAAACAGGACGTCCACTGCCAGGGCCCTCACTTTTAGCACGCAGCAACTTTACTCTTGTCTGGCAAGACCCGCTATGATCTGCTATTGTGTGGCAGCACTTGCTCACGCACACACTCTGACCGCTGAAAACGGTCAAGAAACCAAATCTAGATCCTTGCGGCTTCGTGATTGGCTGCCCCCTCCGCTGCATAATTCAGCTGATGCCGCTCATCGAACACAGCATCGAAGTTGTAGTCCTGGCCAGCCATCAATAAATTAAACTGCTTCAAGAAGCCAGACTGGGGCACAACACAGAATCTGCCTCCTGCAACATGTTCGGAGTAAAACCTGGCCCTTCGCGCTCAAAGCAGATGGCCCTGGTAGATGATTGAACCTTCGGGCAAACCAGGAATCGCCCACTACTTTTGAACCAAACCAACCAAAAAGGACCGTTTTTTTTTTTTCTTCTAAAAAATCAGGTTTACTCCACCAAACCAACCAACTCAGGTTGACTCAACCCCGTTTTCCACCCGTTGCTTTGGTCAGTCCTTGGGGCCAGACTTCTTGTCTTTTGCGGCGATCTCCAAAGAGAAGGCGTCTCGTCTCCACACCACGACCTCGCCCCAGGCCCCCGGATCCTTCGGGGCAAAAGAGGCCCCTGTCCCATTCTTTCCAGGGAAATTTATTCTAGAAAACCTCCAGAATCCCAGGAAAACGGCTGCTTGTTGAAAAGAACGATGGTTGAAAAGAATGGGGAATCAACCCCTAGAGTGATATATGGGTTCCACTTTTCGATCGAACCCCAAAAACGCGGGTCCTTTCGGTTTTCCTTGAACACCAAAAAGGTGCTGCGATAACAACCGACACTCCCCTATGAAATTGGAGCATCCTGTTTCAACCTTTGACATGGCCAACATTCAAGCTCATGCCATGTGCAAACCACTCGGGTTCTGAGAAAGCACACTGAACACACTACCTGCCTCCCAGCTCAGTCACTTGGAGTCCAGGCAGTTACACACTTGGCACATATGACACACCTACTGTGGGTGGACGAAATCCTGCACCACTTTGAAACCTTGGGAACCCATGGTTTGCTGGTATTTACAGGGGAATCATATTTTAGGGCTTCTTAGGTGGTGCGAAATAGATTTCGTCCACCCACAGTATGCACCACACATATGCCATGGCATGGCTCACTCAAACCAAGCCCGTCAGTTTGGGCCGAAGGGCCGAACTTCGGCGGAAAAACAGCTGTGGCATGTGCCTCTTGATCAGCCTCTCGTGCAACTTTCGGACCTGAGCTGGAAAAGCCCGAGATGTCGGCCTTTCAATGTCAGACTTAGACTCCAGGGGCGTCTTTTTGCCACCTTTTGCGAGAACATGTGCGACCCCCTCAAAAAGGAATCCTTCACTACAAGGGGGTCGATCATTCTTCCACGAAAGCTGGCAAAAAGACTGCCTTGGACGGCCTCCATTGAGACATGCCTCTGTATTTCTGCAGCCACGCAAACCGGGTCCAGACCCCTGACTTGATACCAGCCAACAGACACAGGTCAAACAATAGCTCGAACGATCAATTTCGCCAGGCAGAAGGCCGTGCAACTGGATTGGCATGTAGTTTGCAACCGGCTGCGGAGAGTTAACATCAAGCCAACATCACAGAAACCATCCAAGTTGGTACACTCGAGGAAAATAGCCGTAAGCCAGGTGTAAGTCAGCTGCAGCCGGGCTGGGTCTCCAACAGTTAGTGGTGCTTGTGAAATGTAAATGAAATCCTCAAGCACCACATATATAAGAAACCAGTGCAGGTGGGTACCACTCCACCCTGAGTGCTTCCTTGAGTCAATCAAAAGCTGACCGATTCAGTTGCAGCCAGAAACCATACAGCACAATGCAACCGGCATAGGTCTCGTTTCTTGAAATGACCAAACCAACCAAAAAGGACACCTATGGCAACCGGTGAGTCCAATGGTTCTGTCCGAGGAGTGTCCTGAGGTTCCCTGACGGATCCGTGCAAAGACGCGAATGGCGCCCTTCATGTCCTGCAAAGCTGGCCCCCGACTTTCGCAAGTGACGTGAGATTCTTGTGCAGCACATGACCTGCAAATGACAGCTGCCCTCAGATCCCCCGCTAAATGTTAGCCGGGTTAAATTCGGAAACGACCACTAAACGCTGAAAGGCTAAAAAGGTAAGGAACAGGATGGCTGAAGCCAGCAAGGCAAATGACAGTTGCTTAGCTGCTTGCAATCCGCCCTGTCTTCGCTGGCTAACGACAGTTGGTGACTCAAGGCAACCAAATCTTCAGCCAGCATGACGTCCTGCTTGATACGGAGCTGTGCAAAGAAACTTGCGGTCACCATCTCTCAAAAACCATGCATGGCGTTGGATTATGTTTTTGCAAGTGGGGTGCAAAGTGTTGTGTTCCACCAGCAGAGCAAACCGCCCCTTCACTGAGCAACACATGAAACATGATGCTGGCCACTGCCAGCCCGGCCCAACTCTTGATAGTCCTGCATCTGGTTGTGATACCTCTTTCGCAGTGCTTGCTCCTCGCATCACCGACGAAAACACATCCAATGGCCGGTTTGGCGCCCAATTGTGGTTCACACGCACGCAATCCTTACCACACGCAGCGCTCACAACCGATCATGCGTCATAGGTGTCCTTCTGGAACGCCTCATGCACTTCTTCAGTACGCTTCTTCCAGGGTTCGAGCCTCAATTCAACGAAGCCTCGCCAACCATGGCATCCTCATTATATGTGTAGAAGTGAGGTGAAGAAGTGAGGGGCTGGTACTGGTGCAGGGATCACATTACAAGCAATATGTATATATCTTAATACATATATATTTATATTTATGCACATACTCTATATGCGAATATATATATATATATATGTGTGTATATATATATATTATGCACAATGTATATGCGTGCACACTACCCTGGTGACCTGATGCGGCGGACTGCTTTCCAGCATCTTTGGGGGCTCGGCATCTTCTCCGCCTCCTCTGCTCGTTCTTTCATGCCGCTCAGCTCGGCAACCTATGCATTTTGCTCGTAGCTGTGCGAGAAAAAAAACAAAATAAGAAGAAGAAGAAGAAGAAGAAGAAGAAGAAACAAACAAACAGACAGACAGACAAACAAACAAACAAACAAACAAAGGCAGGGAGAGCAATCAGTTGTGACCTAGCGGGTTCTTTGAATGGCAGAGCCAGGTGTTTGCGCCTGTGAAGTCAGCTGCGATGAATCCTCTTCGAGCTTTTGGATGGTCAAGTCCTCGCCCAAGCCACCACACCCAATTGAGAGGCACAGGCTTGACAATGCTTGCCAAGAGGCTATGCGTCATGGAACACACGCTTACTCACACACACACACACAAACAACCAAGAAGCACACGTTGGTCAATGTAAGCTACAGCTGGTTGCCAGCTGCCCTCGCACTGTCCTTTTCCTTCAGCTGCCCTTCTACCTCTACCTGCAGCAAGGTGTTGATCTTCCCAAGGCTTCATAAGGCCATCTGAAAAGAATGGATCCGGCTTTGGTTCCACACCGAGCCGCCTTGCGGTTTGGACCTGCTTCTTGTTTCGAGGGTATCCCTATTGGGATGGCTCAAAGGAACGCCAAAATGGACGACTACCATTTTGGGAGGTTCTCTGTTTCTGACACATGCCCATTTCACGTATTTCGTCGCGGCCTCTCGATCCTGCAGCTGTATCTGCACATTGCTTAGCCTCAGCCCCCCGATTGCCGCAGTCCAGTGAGGGGTGGGGGGTGGGGGGTGAAACAACTGAACAACGTATTTCGAAACGCGTTAGAAGGCAAAGGAACGGGTGCACGCCAAAATTTGGCTCTGCATGAGTTCTGTCGTCGGCCAAGCATCCGACTTGATTGACTATCTACCGATTCATTGCTGTAGTGTAGTGCAAGGCTCAAATGCAAATCCAATCGGCTTGGGGCCAACTTGTCACCTACATTCCCAGCACTTGTTCCGTACTTGTCCCTTACTTGTCCCAGGTCCCCCAAACACCCGCA